CCGCAGCATACCGAGCAGGAAATAATGGTGTGCGCAACGAAATTGTGTCGATTATCGATGCTATGAAGAAGGGTAGACATATCAGCATCGATGAATATAAGGCGCTTCATACTAGCATCCTATAAATAAATGTTGCAAATCAAGAAAGGTTACGCTCGAAAGTACGCCTACGGTGGTAAAGGACTGTTTGACACAATCGCCAGTTTGACTGGACGCATGTTTACTTCCTCTGCCGCCAAAACCCTAGGTCGTAAGGCAATGAGTGCTGCCACCAATGCAGCCTTGAAAGGTGTTGAAAAAGGAGCCTCCAAAGCCGTCGACCATGTGACCCGCCCCAGAAAACGCAGTAAAACCCCCCAACAGCCTAGTGTTCAACGCAAGAAGCTAGAGCAAGTTCTGTTGAACAATCTAATTATATATAATCTCCGGCTCTTGTATCAAAACCATCCACGACTTCGTCCAACGCTATAAATAAATACATTATGTCTGACATCCTTACAATCACCGAAGGGTTGACCTTCGACGAAAGTCTCCAGGAATATCAGGTTCGAGAATATGAACCACAAGCCGGTGCCTAGCTGAACAATGCCGGTGCTGAAATCCGAATCAACATCGAAACCCAGGATTTGTTCCTACACCCCGCCGAAAGTTATCTCGTGGTAGAAGGTCGACTTCTCAAGAATGATGACACAGCATATGCCAATGGCGATCTTGTGTCGCTCACCCATAATGGTATCATGTATCTCTTCAAGAGCATCAGTTACAGGCTTTCCGGTCAGCAAATCGAACATATTAACGACCCCGGCATCGCCACCACTGTGCTGGGAATGTTAACCTACCCCGACGACTTCTCCAAATCGCTGGGTCTCAACCAACTGTGGTATAAGGATTCTTCCACCGATCGATGCTGAGGCTGAGAACACTGGATTTGCAGCCCGCCATGGATACATTATCACCAAGCCCACCAACAAAGGATCGTTTTCGTTTGCCATCCCCCTAAAACATATTTTTGGATTCGCAGATGATTACAACAAAATAGTGTACGGGTTCAGGCACGAACTCTCACTCGTTCGCGATTCAAATGCTAATGCCATTCTGAGAGCAGCTGCCGTCAACGATCCGGCAAAGATCGTCCTGTGTAAACTATCGTGGTTCGTCCCTCACATCACCCCCACAGACGAAAATAAGATGCAACTGTACAAAACCATCCAGAGTAAATCAAAGATCCATTGTGGATTTCGCATGAGACAGTGCGATTCCATAGCCGTCCCCCAAGCCTCACAGTTTAACTGGCGCCTAGCTGCCAAGAGTGGTCGCGAAAAGCCTAGATATATCATTATTGCCTTCCAAACCGACAGAAGTGGTGACCAAACCCATAATGCTTCCGTGTTCGATCACTGTCGATTGCGAAATATCCATATCACCCTCAACGCTGAACGTTATCCGGCAGTCGACTATAATGCAGCTTTCAACGAAAATAGGATCGCCAGAGTGTTCAAAGAGGCCTCTGACTTCAGAAAGAAATTCCACAACATGGACAGTCTCCTCAGTAATGGTGGTATCAATCCCTCCGATTTCATCGACTTGTACCCCTTGTTTGTGATTGATGTTAGTCATCAGTCTGAGCGTCTCAAAGAATCCACGGTGGATATTCAGATCCGAGCCGAATTCGCCCGCAATGTTCCAGCCAACACCGAAGCGTTTGCACTTGTCATTTCAGACAGAATCCTACAGTTTGAATCCGATGGTCAGAAGATGAACGTCGTGTACTAAAAGTAAATGGATAAAATTCACCTACAACTCCTCTTTGTCAGTCGCCCCGCCGAAGTCTATGCGATCGTAGTGAAGGCTGGTAAACAACTCAAGGAGCAGTATGACGGTATCGAAGAGTGGAAGCAAAAATGTGTGACAATGGTCTACCATAAATAAATGGACAACACATTGTTGCAGCAAATTGTCGATAATACCGACCCAAAGCATGGGTTTTCCTTCATCGTCTCTGGAAACGATAGCCGCATCCTTACCCGATTCAACCCCCCACTGCATCTCAAAGAATCTAAGGCCTACGAGATGGCATTGGTAAACCTGGAAACCTACTACTCCATCCCAAACATTCACGCAGGTAACAATTCCTTCCAATATTCTCAAGACGAAGGTGCCAACTGGTTTCCCATTGTGTTGAGCACTGGCTCGTACGGTATAGATGAAATTAACAATGAGGTCCATCGACAGATTCTTCTCAACTGGCACAAAACTAAGATCATCATTGGTGCCAACCGCTCGAATCTGAGAGCAACCCTGAACCTAGCCAAAAACTATCAAGTAGACTTTGACGTCGAAAACAGCCTTAGCACCGTGTTGGGGTTTAAGCGACGACTCTACACTTTTGATAGGGCTACAAATGGGTACACCGAGGGTGAACACATTGTGAATATCATCAGCATTAACAGCATTCTGGTGAATAGCGATATCATCCATGGGAGCTATGTTTACGGTACCCAGCAGTCCACCATCTACAGCTTCTTTCCCGCAGTCGATCCTGGTATGAAGATCATTCAAACCCCTAAGAATCTAGTATACTTGCCGGTGACCCTGCGAACCATTAATCGCATGCAGACGTATCTCACCGATCAAGATGGTAGACCCATCGATTTCAGGGGTGAACATCTCACCATCCGCTTTCATCTTCGTGAGGTATAAATAAATGACTTATCACGAACATGGTTTGAGTTTGACAAAAGGTCAAGCTGATAAACTTCAGCGGGCGGCTAAGATAGGTTGTCCGGTCTCCATTCGTTTGTCCCACGCAAACCTGCAAGGTGAACACAAGATGTTACTCACCACCCGTCAGGTTCAAAAGATCGCCAAGCTCCTACAGAAGGGTACTGGTGGCATGGTCCTAGAGTTGAGTGCGACCCAATTGAAAGAAAACATGCAGAAGGTGGGTGGCTTCCTACCCATGCTGGCGGGGCTTGCAATGAGGGCACTCCCCATGATAGCTAAGACCATTCTACCTGCCTTGGGTGTTGGAGCCTTGAGTGGTCTGGGTGGTGTAGCCGTCAACAAAGCCTTAGGGTCTGGATTGTACATAAAACGTGGTGGGTGTGTTTGTACCGTGAAACCTAGTGGCGGCGGTCTCTACCTCAAACCCTCAAACGCCCGGATCACCTATGGTGATGGACTTTACTTGAAGCGTGGTCAGCAATTCCACGACGGAGCCGGTTTAATTTTAGGTCCTAACAGCCCCTTCAAAAATATTCCCCTCCTCGGTATGCTCCTATAAATAAATGGATCAAGTAGATGCCAGTCATATCGCATGCATGGAAGAGGAGCTCACCGCAGAAATCCGGAGATATGAGCATGCGTTGAAGATCTACAACCGATTGGATAAGGTCATCTCCATTGCCCTGGGTGGGTGCTGCGTAGGCAGTCTATTGCTGACCAGTGGTACCATGGGGTCTGCTCTGACCGGTGTGGGTGCCGTGGCATCCATTCCCATAGGTTCCCTCACCTGTGTATGTGCCACGGGGATAATAATCCTATCCTTGATCTCACGCCGAGTCGCCAAGAAGAAAAAGAAGCATCGAGACACCGTGCGATTAGCCAAAACCTACAAGTCCCAGCTGTCAGGTGAAGACGGTGCTCCTGCAGTCTGCCTGAAGAACTACTACGATGAGAAGGATCAGCTTCGTCAACCTTATATCCCAATTAGTGAAGAATTGAATGCGCATGCGCCGTAGGGAAGGTTCTTCCAATCGCGCCTCGCTCCCCGCTCATTCCCGAACCCTCTAGATCAAAGTGCTAAGTGACAAAAAAAAAAAAAATTCCCAATTCGCTTTGGATTGGGATATTTTGCGTCCTCACCCCTAGCCCTCGGTTATTTTTTTGTTTTTTTTGTTTTTTTTTTTACTTCCTCACCAGATCGTATGAGAGATACTCCTGCTTGGACTTTTTGCTGAGCTTAAACCCAGTGCTTCGTACGAAGGCTCCTTGCAAAGAATATTTCTCCTTATTAAGCGTGGGGCAAGCCCATACTTTACTGGTCTCTCCTTGACGGTCCTTTAGGGTGAGGATTTTGCTTTTTCCAAACTTACTATCCACTTCAGCCACCTCTAAGATCTTATAGATCACCTCGATGGGCAAGTCTTTCCATTTGATGGCTTCCTGATTCTGGTCATGCACCTTTTCCTGAAAGGTGTCTTCGCTGATGAAGTCATCTGTGTCGACGAATCCATTGTGCACAAAAGTCATGATTTATTATACGCTAAGAAGGGACTCTGTCGGATTGCATCTTAGCCTCGGGGTTGGGGGTCCTATGCAGGTTTTGCCCTTGAAAATGGGGAGTGCCGCAGAATCGGCCTTTTCAAACTACTGGGGAATGTGTCAAAGAGACAACAAACCCGACCAAAGAGCAGAAAACACCTCAAGGCCACCAATGGGTCTTCAACACAGCGAGAAAATCCCGCACCCGGAGGCGGGCTTCAGCTTGCCTCTAAACAATAATGTGTACTAGTCAAGTCAGTAAAAATTGACGTCACACTAAACTCCGAAACATATAAATGAACTAAAATTAAAAAAATATACAAGACTAACAAAGGCCAGAGGCTCCTGACTTGCGGGACTTTTTTTTTAAATAACAGTTCATTTCGGTTATTTCAAAAACATCTCTACATGCAACTTACTCATTTACTTTTTTCAATTTAACTTTTTTTCATTTTAAGTGCTCATATCATTTTCCTTATTATTTCATTCCATTTCAATAAAATTGAAAAAGGGATCAGTATATTTTAGGTTCAAAATAATTTTTACCTTTTCGAAATTCGTATATAAAGTTGTGATAGATCATTAAGTGAAATATAAAAAAAAAACAGTAAAAAACACAATCTACAAATCATAGGTCGAGTTTGTTCACTTTATTTCTTTATATAGATAAAGGTAGGCCGACAGTTAGTTATAGTCCGAGTTTGATATAGGCCGAGATATTCAGCGGCGTGTCCTAATACCAAATGACTACAATTCCCTGAACCTTGGGTTTTACGTCATAACCAGCTGATGACAGATTGAAAAGTGTTCGCAGTTAATACACAATATTAGTGGTAACATGCCTGAAAGGCAGTATAATACGGCTGAAGGAGCTAAAACATTCAAACAGAGAAAGAGTTTTTGTAAGTACACGATTCAGCAAAATATATAATAATGTCAATAAAGTAATGACAAAGTCTCACACAGTCATGACTGTACTTTGACATTACAGGCACATTCAAGAGTACGCAAAATAAATAAAAAAACAAAGAGAAGATATGGTTATTGATTAATTGGCCATTTTTGTCGAGCCTGCGACTTTTGTCGCAAAAGCGAGACATAGCGATCCTACATTCCCTCGTCGGCGGCGTCCACAAATATTCACTCTGTGGTTCAAGTTTTTGAAATTTTAATAACTTTCTTAAACTATCCTGGATTTCTACCAAACTTGGACAGAAGCTTGTTTATGATCCTAAGATAGTATCCAGAAGTAAATTTTGTAAAAAAAAATCCTGTTTTTCCGTATTTTACTTATAAATGGAATTAGGTTTCCTGCCAGTTAACATTACATTCACTCTGTGGTTAAAGTTTTTAAAATGTTAATAACTTTCTTAAAATATCCTGGATTTCTACCAAACTTGGACAGAAGCTTGTTTATAATCATAAGATAGTATCCAGAAGTAAATTTTGTAAAAAAAAATCCTATTTATCTCTATTTTACTTATAAATGGAATTAGGTTTCCTGCCAGTTAACATTACATTCACTCTGTGGTTAAAGTTTTAAAAATTTTAATAACTTTCTTAAATTATCCTGGATTTGTACCAAACTTGGACAGAAGCTTGTTTATGATCAAAAGCTAGTATCTAGAAGGAAATTTTGTAAATATATATTTTCTGTTTTTCCGTATATTACTTATAAATGGACTTAGTTTTTCTTCCAGTTAACATTACATACATTCACTCTGTGGTCATAGTGGTTAAAGTTTTAAAAGTTTTAATAACTTTCTTAAACTATCCTGACAAACTTGGACAGAAGCTTGTTTATGATCAAAAGCTAGTATCTAGAAGGAAATTTTGTAAAAATTTATTTCCTGTTTTTCCGTATATTACTTATAAATGCACTTAGTTTTTCTTCCAGTTAACATTACATACAGTCTGTAGTTAAAGTTTTTAAAACACTTATTAGATTCATAAACCATTCTGGATTTTTACCAAACTTGGACAGAAGCTTCTTACAATCTGACAAAAGATAGTATCTATAGGAAAATTTTTAATAATTTTTTCCCCGTTTTTGTTGCGCCTGTGACCATGGTGAATAGCAGCAAAAGTAAGTTAGACACTGGGTTCCGTGGAACCCTTACAAATTTTTAAATCTATCAATCTGGATTCTCAATCCCAGGAAGGTTAAGCTAAACACCGAAAATCATCTTAAAAGTTATATTAAGTCCCAACTTGGACCAATTAAAAAAAAATTAAAATGTCAGTATAAAAACGCTAAAAATTGAATAAGAATGTGAAGTCATATGTTATAGGACTATCCCAAATTCTGCCAATAAAAATTGTATGAGGTCAGTGGTAGTCAAATATCAGCTTCTTTAAATGAAATTAAAATTAATTTTACAGGTTTCCTTTAAGTATTCTTTGTCAAAAAGTCTGCACTGTAATATTTTTAAAAAGAGTTTTAAAAAGTTTGGTTAAGCAGAAAAAACTAAGACAGAGTTGAAAGACAATTTAACAATATTATGTCATTGTGATGGGTAGCCAAAGCTTTTGTTAAGTTTTAACAAAGGTCTCTGCAAAAGATTTGTACTGTACAAAATACTAAATCATAGACAACAATACCTTAAAACGGATTGGTGAGCCAGGGTCTGGATAGGGTTTACAGAACAGAGAATAATGGGCTAAATGTGCAGAATAAATGGGAAAAAAAAAGAATAGATAGAATAGAGAATAATGAGGTTCTAAAATATAAACAATAGAGAAAGATGACCTATAGAATTAACGAATATAGAAATGAAGGACCCCCATCCAGACCCTCATTGGTGATTATTTTGTCTTCGCCTGATTCTTTTTATTATATACATAAACCATTTCCCAGAATATTAAAACACAGCAAGCTACGGCTATTTGCTGATAACTGCTTCATCTATAGAAACATAAAAAAAGATGATGCCACAGAACTACAACACAGGACTTAGTTGATGAATTCAGCTGCACATTGGGCTAAAGACTGGTTATAATTAATGACAATTTATCAAGACAAATGCTTTATACACATACATCTAAAAGATACAAGTCAACCATGACTACATCTGTTCACATATTCTAAACAGAAACAGCTACAAAATATTTAGGGGTAAACAAACAATCAGACCTTAAATGAAATAACCATGTAGATAAAATCAGATCGAATGAAAGTCATGTAGATAAAATCAGATCGAATGAAAGTCATGTAGATAAAATCAGATCGAATGAAAGTTGACAGATTAATTTCCTAAAACGAAATCTCAAAGTGTCTTCAAAACAAAAGAAAGGGCATAATCATGATAATTATCAATAGATAAACCTTAGTAACACATGAGTACTGCTTTTGTGTCTACACAACAAAAAATGAATCAACCTAACTGAAACAGTTCAATGCAGAGATGCTGGCTATACACCTTCCAATTGGTGCATTTTCTCTGAAACTTTGACATCACAAAGCAAATATCTAAATAGAATACTTTTATCTACCAATCATTACAAGCAAATTCAAACCAATAAGGAATCATATAAAGTTTCAATCAATTCCTGCACCATAGTCATTGATACAAATGTAGGACAATAGAATTTACTATCAACATAAGTAGTCCTTTGTACATGAGTTGACAGCTTCAAAGAGCATATTTCTATATCTGCTTCTTCACAAATGTTCTAATATAAAAATAAGAAGATGTGGTATGATTGCCAATGAAACAACTCTCCACCAGAGACCAAATGACATAGAAGTTTACAATTATAGGTCACCATATGGCCTTCAACGATTGAGCAAAACCCATACCGCATAGTCAGCTTTAAAAGGCCCTGAAATAACAAATGTAAAACAATTCAAACCAGAAAACTAACGGCCTGATTTATGTACAAAACAATGAACATTTTTTAATTTCCTGATAACAAAATCAATATTTATACCAATAAAAACAATATTCAAAGATCTAATTACAGTGTTGAATTGGTAACCTTTTAGAATAAGTTTATTTAAAGGATCGATACATTTACTGGGATCATATCTACATTCCGGGCTCGGTAAACATTAAAAATTAGGATTTGCTATCCCATTTGAAATAAGTTTTCTACAGGTACATCCAAACTTCCAAACCAAATCTTTATATCTATGGAAGAATTTAATAAAGGTTTTGAGTAATTTGTGAAAACAAAATCCCTGGCTAAATAATTTACCAGTAATACATAGATTACGTTCATTGAAATCCAAAACGTCACAACAGACACGGGCATAGCTATCAAGTTGTGATATATAACCATCGTAAGATGGCCATGGTGCCAAAGGTATAACCTGCATAACAAGAAATGAGTTTTACCAAGATAAATGCAAAACAATAAGTCTTTTGGTGGATATAGTCGTCTAATTGGCATATATCTTCTTATTTTTATATAATGCAAAAACAAAATCACTGTAATATTTTTGATTTTTGCTCTGACACCTAGTTTTACTTCTAAAAACAAATGACTTATTGAATTTATTTATTTATTTTAAACTGTACATAACCCATGCATGCAACGGCACCAAATAGTCAGAGTTTTGACTGAGTGCAGATATATGAAGGTAGAAATAGAAAAGAGGGATAGTCCACCAGCAGAGGTATCGACCCAGTGCTGTAAAAAATGAAAATAACACGTAATAAATTTCATGAGTCCGAAGCGCTTTTCTGGATTTACCTTCATCGGGAACGCTCAAAGCCAAGGATGTATAAGAACCGAAACAGTTGAAGAGCTATATTATGAAAGAGGGTCTCTATTGTACTAATTTAATTATATCCCCGCTTTAAAAAAGTGGGGGTTTACTGTTTTACCTCTGTCTGTTCGTCCATCCATCCATCCATGCATCCGTCCGTCCCATGAATATTTTTCGTCGCATTTTTCTCAGGAACTACATCATAAGGATTTCTGAAATTTGGTTTCAGGGTTTATATAAATCAGCTATACTGTGTGATGCGTTTTCAGATTCATCACTCAACAACTTCCTGTTTACCGAACACTTACATCATTTTACACATGATATCCAAGTAGTTGAAAATTTTCGTCACATTTATCTCAGGAACTACATTACAAGGATTTCTGAAATTTGGTTTCAGGGTTTATATGAGTCAGCTATACCGTGTGATGAGTTTTCAGATTCATCACTCAACAACTTCCTGTTAACCGAAATATTTTGGCGGGGTATATCATCAGTGAGCAGTAGCTCACAATTTCACTTGTTGTATTAGGACCAGATACCATTCTTTTTAATAAATTTTCCACGGAATGAATGAAATGTTTACTTATGGTCAATTTACAGTAAATGGGCTCTGTCTCAGATTTTGGTAAATTTTTTAATACAACTTTTGCTCATTGAACTTTAACTGAAAATTATGCATTATATAATCCATTGATTTTTCTTTAAAAAATTATATGTTGTTGATACATTGTACATAAATGTATGTTAATGATGTAGAATAATACATTGTAATAGGGTTACAGACTTTGTTTTTATGGTATACATTGTTGATCATTAGAAGTGGTGTTCTTAGTGAAAAAAATACCACAAAACATCAAAATAAGCGTAATTTCATTGTGTTGTAGGTCATAGAACATTGATTTTTGTTGTTTTTCACTCCCAACTAGGTAACAGATTGGTTAATACACCAAAAACGAAGTAGGTGACCATATGATTATTTCAAATCTTTAAAACGGAAATGTATGTATCAACAACATCATTTTTTTTCTCAGAAAAATCTATGGATTTGAAATTGGAGAAGATTTTAAGACAAATTTAAGATTTTTTTGATTATCAGTAAAAGTTCAATGAGCCAAAGTTGATTGCAAATTTTCCCCCAAATCTGTGACTTTGCCATTTACTGTTCTTGGCCTTTATGATTATCTCAAGTTTTAATATACTTGATGTTTTGTCTCAAGAAAGAAGTAAACATGTCTTTGCTCTTAAGCTTACAAACCAAAAACACTGTTATTTTGTTCATTTATCATGTTAATCAGTACCATCTCAGCATTCTGGTAGTGTGCTCGCCTCAAACGGGGGAGGAGCCTCGGAGGCCGAGTGGTCCATGAGGTTGTGAATTATAACCCCGAACATGGCAGGGGCATTAGACTCTGATTTTATTGGACAAGGATTACCAGTTTTCCTGCCAAAGGTCAGTGGTTCTCTCCAGGTACTAAAAATTCCTTCACCAATAATAACTGGCTGCTGTGTTACAGCCAGAGTGCTGAAAAAGACCAACAATCAATCATCAATCAATCAAATAGGGAAATTGAAGATTTAATCCTCAGCCAGCTCCAACCTAAGACTGGAAAATTGGATATTTGCTGATTCTCTGCAGCTAGGCAAGGGGTATTTATATAAATTAGGTATCACCTAACCAAGGACTTTGATTGTAAGAACTTTGTCCTCTTCCTTTTTCACAGTTCTATAAACATGCTGAACATCAACAAGGTATGATCAGGTATTTTTATGATTATGATTAGGTTAGATTTACTGTTAAAATAAGTACTGGTAGATCAAGTATACTATACAATACAATATACAAATTGTTTTGGTCTGAAGAAATATTGTGAGTTGTAAATGTCCTGGAGTCATTGACTCACTTTGTATGAGGTTGATCAGATATACATTAGATTGTCATTATTGCAATGCAGATAATGTCTCCTAAAGTCCATGTACTGATAGTTTAATAAACAAACATTTATGTTTGGCAATGACCTTATATCTTTTGAACTGGTGATTGTGGGTGATTCACACATCTCTTTATACTAGTACTGCAACTGTGTATTTGCACAGTCAAAATGCATTGACGTACACATTTTGTCTTTATACAATCAGTGACTGTAAAAAGCCTTGTTTGTGACATTGATGATATATTTCCATAGAGTTTTATGTATGAAGTTTAAGTCACAAAAGATTGTAGGTTTGACCTCATCTGCTTAAATTTCATAATTGTTGATACCCAAAATATATGTATTTAGTGAAGTTTCTCTAGGTTGCAGTATAAACAGAACAACCATACATTGTCTCAAAACATTGTACTCTGCCTCACATTCTACCTGTTTGGACTTAGCAGATAAATAAATAAATATTACATTTTGAGACAAATATGCAGTTATTCTATGTTCTAATTCTATATTCCATTGGTAATTTATATATATTATATAAGGGTCAAAGTTTTATCACCTTTACCAGTAATCAGTCAATATTAGATACACAGACAAGATATTTACTGGTATAACCCCATTCCAAAGTAGGGGTATACTGGTTTATGCTCTTACTCCTAAACGCAGCTTGTTAGGCAGAGAAGCTGTACATACCCATTTACATCCTTTGGTTTGACACAGTTGTGGATTAAACCCAGGATCTCATGCATTCAAGATTAGCAAAGCTATTGAGAGACCACAGGGTTACTTTACACAATAGTTTAACAATAGTTGGAATGCCAATTGAAATTCATGAGTAATTGCCTGTCTTGCATATATATATATGTCATATGTCCTTGAACTAATTTTCCCACTCCAGTGGTGAGGTTTAATTTTCAGGATGAGTTCTGTTCCTCAGAAACTATACATGACAGGTCAGCAATATTCAGTATTTGGATTTGCTGCTATGATGATACATGATGTATATGTCCATCCGAAATATGTCATAAGACCTTGCCCTCATATATCCATGCTCCATTTGATACTGCTGTTTAAGCTTATAGAATGAGATCTATTCTCAGTAGGTATACATTACTGGTCAACAATATGGCATGTAGATTGTTTGCCATTTGTATATGTCCCTCTGATATACATGTATATAATATGCTCTTAAATGTGTGTGGGTAGGGGTGGGTTGGGCAACCACAAACATGTTTAACCTCGACACATTCTGTATGTGCCTGTCCCATGTCAGGAGCATTGTAGTTCAGTGGTTGTTGTTTGTTGATTGCTTTGTACATAAATCATGCTGTTGATTTAATACCCACACAATGTTTTTGACCAGTCAGTCAGTCCTGTTTTTGTCATCACAACTCCTCTGAAACACCACAACAGAATTTCATGAAACTTTGTAGATAATGAGGACAAACTACATGTATGTAGATGTGCATATCTACAAAAAATTATGATTAAATTTTTTTCTAGGAGTTATACCCCTTTGAACTTAGAATTTTGGCCTAAATATACTACTGCAACAGTTTGTCATCGCAACTCCTCTGAAACCACACAACAGAATTTCATGAAACTTTGTAGTTAATGAGGACAAAATATGTTATACGACCGCAAAAAAAATTTTGTGGTCGAATATTGGTATGACGTTGGCGTCGTCGTCCGAAGACACATTAGTTTTCGCACTCTAACTTTAGTTTAAGTGAATGGATCTCAATGAAATTTTACCATAAGGTTCAATACCACAAAAGGAAGGTGGGGATTGATTTTGGGGGTTATGGTACCAACAGTTAAGGAATTAGGGTCCAAAAAGGGGCCAAAAAATAAGCATTTTTGTAACTCCCAGACATAACTTGTGTGTAAGTGTATGGATATCTCTGACATTGTACCACAAGGTTCCATATCACAAAGGGAATGCTGGGATTGATTTTGGGGGTAATTGCCTCAAAATTTTAGGAATTAAGGGCCAAAAAGTGGCAAAAAACAAGCATTTTTCTAGTTTCATGATAATAACTTGTGTGTAAGTGTATGGATCTTTCTGAAATTGTACTACAAGGTTTTCATATCACAAAGGGAAAGCTGGGTTTGAGTTTGGGGGTGATTGCCCTAAAAGTTTAGGAATATGGGGCCAAAAAGGGGCCTAAAAACAAGCATTTTCTAGTTTCATGATAATAACTTGTGTGTAAGTGTATGGATCTTTCTGAAATTGTACTACAAGGTTTTCATATCACAAAGGGAAAGCTGGGATTGAGTTTGGGGGTGATGAATCATAAGGGGGTTCAAAAAATTTGGGGGAGGGATTTTTTTTTTTTTTTTAATTTTCCATTTTGAATTGGCTATTTCTGATTTATATATAAAAGCAAATAATAATGATATGGTTTGAATAGGTAAATTAAAATTTTTTAAGTTCTTAGACCACATTCATTCTGTGTCAGAAACCTATGCTGTGTCAAATATTTAATCACAATCCAAATTCAGTGCTGTATCAAGCTTGAATGTTGTGTCCATACTTGCCCCAACTGTTCAGGGTTGACCTCTGCGGTCGTATCAAGCTGCGCCCAGTGGAGCATTTTATTCAAATACTGTAATCAATATAATGGGTCAACTATATTTACTTGATAACAGATTGTATGGTGAACATATCTGTTTTACAGGTATCATCTATCCTTGACCTCATTTTCATGGTTCATTGGTTAATGTTAAGTTTTCTTGGTTCAGTCTGTTCTTAGATATTATTATCCATAGATCAACTATATTAGGTGCATGGAATGATGGAGTGTAAGGTGTACATGTCTGTCGGGCAGGGTTCATTAGACCTTTACCTCATTTTGATGGTTCATTGGGTGAATGATAAGTTTTTGTAGTTTTGACTGTTTATCAGATACTATAAAAAAATAGGTTAACTATATTTGGTGTATGTACTGATTGTAAGGTGTACATGTCTGTCTGGCAGGGTGCCAATGACCTTGACATAATTTTCATGATTCGTTGGTCAATGTTAAGTTTTGTGGTTTGGTTTGTTTCTCTGGTACTAAAAGCAATAGGACCACCATATTTGGAAATGGAATGATTGTTAGATGTACATTGTCTGTCTGGCATGGTTCTTCTGACCTTGAACTCATTTTCATGGATTGCTGATACTGATAAGTATATCAGTATATGTGATACTTGTAGTAAAACTTCATATTACAGACATTCAACATAAATTCAAACATGATAAGTAATGCAGGTGAGACATTTCAGTGTGTGCTTTCTTGTAATTAATAACTTGTACAATGAATATAAACATGTTCACTTGAGATTTTTCATTTAACTAGTGAGTTGACCTCAGGTTGAGAGTTCATTGCCATTTAATAAAAAAGATTCCAATAATGCAGCAAGTCAGACATTTCAGTGTAATGATTCCTATTAATATTGAAGAAACCTATGAAGAATAATTTCATAACACATTCTCTTTTTTTTCCAGCCATTCGTAAAGAAGAAGTTATTGGTATAAGATCAAAGTTTCCAACAAAAGTTCCTGTAAGTGTTATTATTGAATGGTGTGATATCTGATATAGTAACTTGTATATTGCACAAAGTGATAAGTAAATTTCATTTCCATTTGTATATGATATATGTAAATGAGTGGATGTGGTATGATTGCCAATGAGACAACTATCAATCATAGAGCAAAGTATGATGTTGTAAACAACTTAGAACTATAGTCATTCAGTGGTGGATCCACCATTTATAAAAATTGGACCCAGAAAATAAATTGCCTAAAACATACTATAAAGAGGGGGACCCTAAAAGATGTAGTTAAATATTGAACTATAACATTTGCCTTTAAAGGCAGGAGGGGGAGAACTGTCATTATATAATAATTAATCTTCCAGAACAAAATTTGTGATTTTTTTTTTCATTTTCAACTGGGTTTTTCTGAAGGACTGCTGCCAACAGTTTCCTTTCAATAACTTATGAACCTTTTAACCATGATTACTTTTCAAATTTAAATATGTTGATACTAATGACAAAATGGAGGTCAAGGTGATATTGCTGATTTTCACTTTTAACGTAAAGGAGTTATGGTCCTTGATATATTTGAAAATGGGACTTTATGTTGTTTCCGTGCAATTACTTATGAACCATTCAACCAATGCTCTTAAAATTTTAATATGCTATTACAGATGCCTTTCAGGAGTTTTGGTCCTTGATAGATTGGAAAATATGAATAGAATGTTGCAGGTCAAAAAAGTCTAAAAGCACTTTTGAAAATACACAAAACCCAGTTTGCTGTCAATTTGACAGCTCATTCCTATTTTGTATTTTACTGTTAAAAGTACTTAGTATTTTTACAGTTAACATTAATATTCAGCCTGAAATAATATTTTTTTTAGACCTTAATAGTTTTTGCAAACCTTCATGAAAGGAGGATTCATGATAAGAGCCATTAAAATCATTATTTGGCCCTTGAAATGGCAAAAATAGTAAACTTAGTCATATGTTAATTTTATTGATAAATAAACAGGATGTCTACTGATTGATATTTTAGTCTTAGATGCATGATTTTTATACGACCGCAAAAAAATTTTTGTGGTCGTATATTGGTATGACGTTGGCGTCGTCGTCGTCGTCGTCGTCGTCGTCCGGCGTCGTCGTCCGAATACACATTAGTTTTCGCACTCTAACTTTAGTTTAAGTGAATGGATCTCAATGAAATTTTACCATAAGGTTCAATACCACAAAAGGAAGGTGGGGATTGATTTTGGGGGTTATGGTACTAACAGTTAAGGAATTAGGGGCCAAAAGGGGCCAAAAATAAGCATTTTTGTAACTTCCAGACATAACTTGTGTGTAAGTGTATGGATCTCTCTGACATTGTACCACAAGGTTCCATATCACAAAGGGAATCCTGGGATTGATTTTGGGGGTAATTGCCTCCAAAGTTTAGGAATTGGGGGCCAAAAAGGGGCAAAAAACAAGCATTTTTATACGACCATGACAATATCTTGTTTGTAAGTGTATGGATCTTTATGAAATTGTACTACAAGGTTCCATATCACAAAAGGAATACTGGGATTGATTTTTGGGGTAATTTCCTCCAAATTTTAGGAATTAGGGGCAAAAAAGGGGCAAAAAACAAGCATTTTTCTAGTTTCATGACAATAACTTGTTTGTAAGTGTATGGATCTTTATGAAATTGTACTACAAGGTTCCATATCACAAAGGGAAGGCTGGGATTGATTTTGGGGGTTTTCCCTCAAAGTTTTAGTAATTAGGGGCCATAAAAGGGCAAAAAAAACATGCATTTTTCTAGTTTCAGGACAATAACTTGTGTGTAAGTGTATGGATCTTTATGAAATTGTACTGCAAGGTTCCATATCACAAAGGGAAAGCTGGAATTGAGTTTTGGGGTAATTGCCCTAAACGTTTAGGAATTTGGGGCCAAAAAGGGGCCAAAAAACAAGCATTTTTATAGTTTCCAGACAATAACTTGTGTTCAAGTGTATGAATCTCTCTGAAATTGTACTGCAAGGTACCATACCACAAAGGGAAAGCTGGGATTGAGTTTGGGGGTGATGAATCATAAGGGGGTTCAAAAAATTGGGGGGGGGATTTTTTTTTCCTTTTTTTTCTTTAACATTTTCCATTTTAAATTGGTTATTTCTGATTTATATATAAAAGCAAATAATAATGATATGGTTTGAATAGGCATACATGTGAACCTCCCGACGGGAGTACAATAATCCCGTTTTCAGGGGTCTCCTCCCGACCTCCCGTTGAAGAGGAAAAAATCCTGTGTATGAAATTTTTCATGAATGAAAAATTTCTGCCCAACATATCATCTCAAGCATCTGGTGTAACTGACATTACCTGAAGTTATATTTTACCTGTAAATCAATTAACATGCATAATTATATGGCTTCACTTGTCAGCTTGGGTGTCAAACATACAGGTAATCAACGATTTTTACCTCAGGCTAACTGCCGTTGTGTAACAAAAACTGTGTATTTATTGGGTTACTTCCCTTGATTTATCCTGTTTTAAGTTACTTTCCTTTTAATAATGAAATTTTTTAAAAGAATATAAATAAAATATAAATTGAACAAATAATCATAAAAGGATGGTTATTAAATGATTTTAAATGTCTTAGGACAAATAAAAAAATAATAATTTGAAAATTATTTGAGGATTCTAGACTTCCTTTCAAGGCTTAAATTGAAATTTATATAATAAATATGACCCTAATTTTACAGATGAAATGATTTTCTGAGTTTGCAAATAAAAACTATTTGCAAGAGAAAAAAAAAAAATGAAAACTATTTGCAGATAGCTAAACAAATGTTCTGGTTGCAATGATTGTTTTATAGAATATGAAGTAAAAAATTTAAAGAACATACTGGAAAAATACAATGTTAGATTGAACATGTAGAATATAAAGATGGAGAAACTTTATAAGTACAAGGGTACTATAAACATAATAAATTGGATGGAAAGTTGAAGAAAACACACTTTAAAAGACCATTTTTACAGCACACGGTTACATTTACAACAAAATTAATGTCGATTAAAAACCTCCTGATCTGAGTCCTAATCTCCTGACCAAAATTTCCCAATCTCCTGATCTGAGTTTCACAGTCCATCACATGTATGAATAGGTAAATTGAAAATTTTTAAGTTCTTAGACCACTTTCATTCTGTGTCAGAAACCTATGCTGTGTCAAATATTTAATTACAATCCAAATTCAGTGCTGTATCAAGCTTGAATGTTGTGTCCATACTTGCCCCAACTGTTCAGGGTTCGACCTCTGCGGTCGTATCAAGCTGCGCCCCAGCGGAGCATTTTATTTTATTAGTTGTTATTGACTTTGAACTAACTGTCAGTAACTGCGAGTACTCTCAGATCTGTAATTAGTGTCTTTTTGTTCAGTGGGAAATCTAGTGACAAAATATTACCTCCCCTGTAAACACTGACAACTAGATCTTCTCAATGTTTGTCCCATTTTAGCAAGGACTCTATCAATTATGGATTCACGGAAAAACGTTCTGTTAAATAGCAAAAAAAAGAAATAAATTGAAATAAAAACAAAACTTCCACTCAATGTTATCATTTTCCTTCTTAAGTAGCAAAAGACGAGTACAGCAGGCTTATAGATGCTTGGAGTAAAATTGGTTTAAAAAGTTGCTATGGGAATAAATTCCTGGAGTACCAACTTCAATTTATTTTTTTTTACTGTCTATATACCTCTCTGGAACATGCTAATTATTCGTATATATATACAGCTAGATCAGAGAAAGTCAGGGAAAAAAAATCCAAAGGAATCGATTGATATGCAGCAAAGATTGGCACTTTTGAAAATAAATTACTAAGCAAAATCAAACAGACCTTATCTCAATGTAAACATTGAATGTAAATAGATCGAGAAGACCGCAAATACATGTACAAAACTCGAGACGACCTTTTCTTAAAATTGTATACAAAATAGTAGAAAGATACCTACTTTATAAAAATAGTTATCTTTACTTTTTTAACCTGCACAGACAGACTTTCAAATGTTTATATTCACGAAAAGACAATAGTTCTCTATTGAATGTACATGTGACAAGAGCAGACCAGTGTGCTCGATAACTTAAGTGTGAAAAAATAAGCATACTTTGGGAAATTGTAACATGCTAAGAACTTTCTGGAACACTCAGAAAATTGGTGACTTGAAAGATCTTTCGATTTTGTTTGTGCATGATTTTTTCCAATTTTTGTCGTGCCTGCGACTTTTGTTGCATAAAGCTCGACATAGGGATAGTGATCTGGCGGTGGCGTTAGCTAACTTTTTAAAAGCTTTATATTTTCCAAGGTGGAAGACCTGGATGCTTCATACTTTGTATATAAATGCCTTATGTTATGAAGTTTCCGTCTGTCATATGTCCATTGTCCTTGACCTCATTTTCATGGTTCAGTGACTACCTGAAAAAAAAAGGGAAGATTTTTTGTAAAGTTAATTTCTCTCTTATTATGAGTTATAGGATAACTATAATTAATATGTGCGTACCTGGCAAGGTCCTCATGCCTGTCAGACAGTTTTCATCTGACCTCGACCTCATTTCATGGATCAGTGTACAAGGTTAAGTTTTCGTGGTCAAGTCCATATATCAGATACTATAAGCAATAGGTATTCTATATTTGGTGTATGGAATGATTGTAAGGTGTACAGGTCCAACTGGCAGGTGTCATCTGACCTTGACCTCATTTTCATGGTTCAGTTCCAACCAACATGGCCGCCATGGCTTAAAATAGAACATAGGGGTTTACTATAGAAGTCTAAGGGAAAATTGTAAAAAAAACAATTTCAAATGGTCACAACTTGAAATCTAATTTAAATAATGATAAATTAAACCAAACTTGGCCTCAATCATTATTAGGGTATCTAATACTATTAATTATGATCTTAACCTAATTTTACATGATTTCCAAAACAACAGTAGATACAGGTGAGCGACACAGGCTCTTGGGAGCCTCTAGTTTAATTGTAGTAGTCTATAGCTGACGTCTTTTCTGGGGATTCTAAAAGGTAAAGTTCAATCTTTGCCAAAAGATCATTGTACTATCTAGGGTATATGCTCCTTGTTTTCACTGATTCAAATTTAGACCACAAAGATTCAAGAAATTTGTCTTCAGAAGACATGTCACTTAAATGCTAATAATACAGATTAAGAAGTGAAAAAGACAAGATTGCCTGCATGGGGACATTTAACAAAATGTTTTACAGTATATGTAATCAATGGAAAGAACATGTGAGTAAAAATTGATATCTACATTTGTCTACTTTTGACCAGACCAAAACCAGCTAGACCAGTGAAGTGCAAATTTTCTTCAAATAATTTTTAGATAGAATCATCAATCCCCATCCTTTCATTAGATACAATCACTTATTTGAAACATATCAATTTTTGTAATACCACAAAGAAATACAACTTAATTCTGTTTAGATTATGAAAAAATACTGAAATTTGAAGATCTGTAAAATTAATGTATATTAATATATGGAATATGATATAAACAATACTTTATATCAAGAATATTTCACCGAATGTACATTTATATGGAAGATAAAGCAAAAATCCCAAAGTTCACTTATTGCCGGAAATGATGTCTGGCATTAGGCTTAATAATCAACATCAGATTTCAGGAAATAAGCTAATGCCTGAAAATTTCAGACAATAACTTCATGCCTAGGCGTCAGCTTATTGCCTAGGATTTAAGCTTAATGCCTAATTTTACTTATTGCCACTAATATATATACAGAGAAAAAGGGCTTATTTTTATGTCCTATTTGTAAATGGTTCTGAAAATATAATAAATAGACGGGAATAACAAAGATATATGCAAAGAGAAAAGGAAGAAAAATGAGAATATTGTTGTTAATTTTTGTTTTCAGGTTATTGTTGAAAGATATCATAAAGAGCAGCAGCTACCATTATTAGATAAAACAAAGTTCTTAGTACCACAAGAGCTAACCATGTCACAGTTTGCATCTATAATAAGGTTAGTATTGTAATGCTTGTATTTGAGAATTTGAAAAATAATAAAAATTTGGCAAGAAAAAAAGTTTTCCAGAATTTGTGCAAATTCAGAATCTGAAATTGAATGGTTGATTGATTGGTGTTTAACGCACTTTCAACACTATTGTGCTATTTCGTGGCAGTCAGTTTTCAATGGTGGAGGAAGACAGAGTCCCCGGAGAGAACCACCGACCTTCGGTAGGAAAACTGACAATCCTAGTCAATTAAGATTGGAGTCGAGTGCATCTAGCTCATGTGGGTTTCGAACTCACAATCTCAGTGTTGACTGGCTAGTGATACATTAGTTCTACTACTTAGACCACTTGTCCACCGATGTCCCCAGAATCTGAAACGAAAGGTATTTTGGTCCCCAGTGCCTAACCAGGGGAGGGGATATGGGAATCTTGATGTTCATTTCATACATTCTTTTGGGTGTCCCTCTGACATTACAAGCCTTATACCTACAGATTTCATTAGATTTGAACAATATTTATTTTACAGGTTAACATCAGCTTTAACTCTTATTATTTTGTCCCCCGTGTGACGTGTTGCAGGGGACATTGAAATACCGGGCCTCCATCCGTCCGGTCTTGTTAGCGCTCTCACGTGTACAATTCATGCCAGATTTTTATGAAACTTTTATCATAGGTTTATATCAGCAATGTCTTGGACAAGTTCGAAAAATCAGTGCCGATCAATTATTTTTAAAAGAGTGATGCCCCTTAGACACACTAGTTTTATGGAAAATTGCATCGTAAGCGCTCTTGTGTACAATTCTTGCCAGAATTTTATGAAACTTATATCATAGATTAATATTAGCAATGTCTTGGACACGATAGAAAATCAGTGCCGATCAATTATTTTTAAAAGAGTTATGCCCCTTGGAAGCATTATATTGAAAATTGCATTGTTAGCACTCTCATTTGTACAATTCTTGCCAGATTTAATGAAACTTATATCATAGGTTTATATTAGCAATGTCTTGGAAGTGTTTGAAAATCAGTACCAATCAATTATTTTTAAAAGAGTTATGCCCCTTGGAAAAATAAATTATATGGAGAATTGCATGGTTAGCGCTCTCATATGTACAATTCTTGCCAGAATTTTTATACGACCGCAAAAATTGAAAATTTTTTGGTCGTATATTGGTATGACGTTGGCGTCGTCGTCGTCGTCGTCGTCGTCGTCGTCGTCGTCGTCGTCGTCGTCGTCTGGCGTCGTCCGAAGACACATTGGTTTTCGCACTCTAACTTTAGTTTAAGTGAATGGATCTCCATGAAATTTTACCATAAGGTTCAATACCATAAAAGGAAGGTTGGGATTGATTTTGGGGGTTATGGTACCAACAGTTAAGGAATTAGGGGCCAAAAAGGGGCCAACAATAAGCATTTTTGTAACTTCCAGACAATAACTTGTGTGTAAGTGTATGGATCTCTCTGACATTGTACCACAAGGTTCCATATCACAAAGGGAAGGCTGTAATTGATTTTGGGGGTAATTGCCTCAAAGTTTTAGGAATTAGGGGCCAAAAAAGGGGCAAAAAACAAGCATTTTTCTAGTTTCATGACAATAACTTGTGTGTAAGTGTTTGGATATTTCTGAAATTGTACTACAAGGTTCCATATCACAAAGGGAAAGCTGGAATTGAGTTTGGGGGTAATTGCCCGAAACGTTTAGGAATTGGGGGCCAAAAAGGGGCCAAAAATAAGCATTTTTCTAGTTTCCAGACAATAACTTGTGTTCAAGTGTATGGATCTCTCTGAAATTGTACTGCAAGGTACCATACCACAAAGGGAAGGCTGAGATTGAGTTTGGGGGTGATGAATCATAAGGGGGTTCAAAAAATTTTGGGGGGGGATTTTTTTTTTTCTTTTTTTTTTCTTTTTTTCCTTTTTTTTTTCTTTTAAAATTTTCCATTTTAAGTTGGTTATAACTGATTTATATTTAAAAGCAAATAATAATGATATGGTAGGAGATACACACCAAACAGGATGTGTAAATTATTATATAATAAGTATTGTGCAATAGCAAGAAATTTTCAATTGCACAGTATTGCACAATAGCAAGAAATCTTCAATTGCACAGTATTGCGCAATAGCAAGAAATCTTCAATTGCACAGTATTGCGCAATAGCAAGAAATATCCAATAGCACAATATTGCGCAATAGCAAGAAATTGTCAATTGTACAGTATTGCGCAATAGCAAGAAATAATCAATTGCACAGTATTGTGCAAAAGAAGATACTTCGTATAAATTGCTTATTTCTTGATCAATTTCAATGGGGTTTTATTCTTGAATTCTTGGGGTTCTTTAATATGCTGAATCTAACCGTGTATTAAGTTTTTGGATTTTGGGCCCCGTTTTTAAATTGGTCCACATTGAGGTCCAAAGGGTCCAAAATTGAACTTTGTTTGATTTCATCAAAAATTGAATTATTGGGGTTCTTTGATATGCCGAATCTAACCGTGTATTTAGATTCTTAATTTTTGGTTCTGTTTTCAAATTGGTCTACATAAAGGTCTAAAGGGTCCAAAATTAAACTTAGTTTGATTTCAACAAAAATTGAATATATGGGGTTCTTTGATATGCTGAATCTAACCATGTATTTAGATTTTTGATTATGGGCCCAGTTTTCAAGTTGGTCCAAATCGGGGTCTAAAATTAAACTTTGTTTGATTTCAACAAAAATTGAATATATGGGGTTCTTTGATATGCTGAATCTAACCATGTATTTAGATTTTTGATTATGGGCCCAGTTTTCAAGTTGGTCCAAATCGGGGTCCAAAATTAAACTTTGTTTGATTTCAACAAAAATTGAATATATGGGGTTCTTTGATATGCTGAATCTAACCATGTAATTAGATTTTTGATTGTTGGGCCCCGTTATCAACTTTGTCCACATTGAGATCAAAAGGGTCCAAAATTAAACTTTGTTTGATTTCATCAAAAATTGAATATATGGGGTTCTTTGATATGCTGAATCTAACCATGTATTTAGATTTTTGATTATGGGCCCAGTTTTCAAGTTGGTCCAAATCGGGGTCCAAAATTAAACTTTGTTTGATTTCAACAAAAATTGAATATATGGGGTTCTTTGATATGCTGAATCTAACCATGTATTTCGATTTTTGATTATGGGCCCAGTTTTCAAGTTGGTCCAAATCGGGGTCCAAAATTAAACTTTGTTTGATTTCAACAAAAATTGAATATATGGGGTTCTGTAATATGCTGAATCTAACCGTGTATTAAGTTTTTGGATTTTGGGCCCCGTTTTTAAATTGGTCCACATTGAAGTCCAAAGGGTCCAAAATTTAACTTTGTTTGATTTCATCAAAAATTGAATTATTGGGGTTCTTTGATATGCCGAATCTAACCGTGTATTTAGATTCTTAATTTTTGGTTCCGTTTTCAAATTGGTCTACATAAAGGTCCAAAGGGTCCAAAATTAAACTTAGTTTGATTTTAACAAAAATTGAATTTTTAGGGTTCTTTGATATGCTGAATCTAAACATGTATTTCGATTTTTGATTATGGGCCCAGTTTTCAAGTTGGTCCAAATCGGGGTCCAAAATTAAACTTTGTTTGATTTCAACAAAAATTGAATATATGGGGTTCTTTGATATGCTGAATCTAACCATGTATTTAGATTTTTGATTTTTGGGCCCTGTTATCATTTTTGTCCACATTGAGATCAAAAGGGTCCAAAATTAAACTTTGTTTGATTTCATCAAAAATTGAATTCTTGGGGTTCTTTGATATGCTGAATCTAACCATGTATTTAGATTTTGGATATTGGACCATAATAGGTGAATGTCCAATTTAAAATTTTTAAGTTCTTAGACCACATTCATTCTGTGTCAGAAACCTATGCTGTGTCAAATATTTAATCACAATCCAAATTCAGAGCTGTATCAAGCTTGAATGTTGTGTCCATACTTGCCCCAACTGTTCAGGGTTCGACCTCTGCGGTCGTATCAAGCTGCGCCCTGCGGAGCATTTTATTTTAAACTTAAATCATAGATTTATATTAGCAATGTCTTGAACGAATTTGAAAATCAGTGCTGATCAATGCCCCTTGAAAATATTAACTATATGGAAAATTGCCTTATGAGCGCTCTAATGTGTACAATTCTTGCCAGATTTTTATGAAATTTATGTAATAGGTTTATATCATCAATGTACTTGAAGAGCAAGGCTTCCAAAACGGTCATATATTCCGGACAATTGTATAATGTCCGGTAAAAGTCCGGCTGGGCAAAGCATGAAACGGTCATCTACTTTTTAGTTGTCAAGGCTTTCTTAAGAGACGGTCATTTTAGCATAATTCACGATCTTTTTGACCCAACCTTTTGCCTTTAACAGCCACACATTTCCGGTCATAAAAGTGACATGATGATTAATTACTATCAAAACAACCCCTACTTCAATACTTTCTAATTTTAATCAAGGCTTATTAGTTGTTGTACAGCTGAAATCTACCTGTTCAGGTGACAGGTAAACTATTTCCAGTACCGGACATCGTATAAATTGATCGGTCTATTCAAAGTTAATTTCTTACATTTCAGCGGTTTCTATCTAATTGATTTAGTCCAAAAGATTGAAATTATAAGAAATACGTTTATAAACATGATTTGATGAAAAATTTAAAAACATTTTAAAAGAAAAATCGTAAGAACTACGTTGTATGAACTAGAACACGTGTGCGCATGTGCACAGTAGGGAAATTTAATTATGCATCCTACATTTCTTAAAAAATGATAAAAATTATCATTGATACCTGTATCTAACGTTCATTTCAAGTATTTTGTTGAAGAAATAACGTGGAAAGAGCTTCTTCACTCAGTCGTGCTTTGTAAACGTACACAGATTTTACGTTTCTGTTTCTGGTCCATGTTTTACCATTGTCAGGTCAACATCCAGTATTAGGAAAATGTGATTTTAAAAACGAAAGTAAAGTTTTTGACAACATAATTTTGCACAAATAAAGAGTCTAAGGCAGTTATGAGCACACTGATGTGCACACTTCGAATTATGCACTGCCAATTTAACAGTTTACGTCCGAACATCAAATTCACATCAAAGTAAAGTTTAATATCGTTTTTTTTTTAATCTAATGTCAATCATTGGGATGGCCATCTGATTACCATAATTGCCTTTTTTGACTTAGTCTTAAGGGATTAAAATCGGGATAAGATATAAAATGTCCGGCTGGCTCAAATATTTTTTGGAAGCCCTGTTGAAGAGTTCAAAATTCAATGCTGATCAATTATTTTTAAAAGAGTTATGCCCCTTGAAAATATTGATTATATGGAAAATTGCAATGTTATCGCTCTCATGTGTTCAATTCTTGCCAGAATTTTATGAAACTTATATCACAGGTTTATATCAGCAATGTTTTTGACACTTTGGAAAGTAAGTTCTGATCAAATATTTTTATCCAGTTATGCCCCTTGGAAATATAAATCATAATGGAAATCACATTGCATTTGCTCTAAGCCTTCATTTCTTTTTAACTCACCTGGCCCGAAGGGCCAAGTGAGCTTTTCTCATCACTTTGCGTCCGTGGTCCGTCGTCGTCGTTGTCCGGCGTCGTCTGTTAACTTCTCCTCTGAAACTACTGGGTCAAATTTAACCAAACTTGGTCACAATCATCATTGGGGTATCTAGTTTAAAAAATGTGTCCGGTGATCCAGTCAACCAACCAAGATGGCCGCCATGGCTAAAAATAGAACATAGGGGTAAAATGTAGATTTTGGCTTATATCTCTGAAACCAAAGCATTTAGAGCAAATCTGACATGGGGGAAAATTGTTTATCAGGTCAAGATCTATCTGCCCTGAAATTTTCAGATGAATCTGACAACCCGTTGTTGGGTTGCTGCCCCTGAATTGGTAATTTTAAGGAAATTTTGCCGTTTTTGGTTATTATCTTGAATATTATTATAGATAGAGATAAACTGTAAACAGCAATAATGTTCAGCAGAGTAAGATCTACAATTAAGTCAACTTGAGCAAAATGGTCAGTTGACCCTGAAGGAGTTATTGCCCTTTATAGTCAATTTTTAACCATTTTTCGTCAATTTTTGTAATCTTTTACAAAAATCTTCTCCTCTGAAACTACTAAGACAAATTTAACCAAACTTGTCCACAATCATCATTAGGGTATATAGTTTTAAAAATGTGTCCGATGACCCCGCCCGCGAACCAAGATGGCCAACATGGCTAAAAATAGCACATAGGGGTAAAATGTAGATTTTGGCTTATATCTCTGAAACCAAAGCATTTAGAGTAAATCTGACATGGGGTAAAACTGATTATCAGGTCAAGATCTATCTGCCCTGAAATTTTCAGACCAATCAGGCAACACGTTGTTGGGTTGCTGCCCCTGAATTGGTAATGTTAAGGAAATTTTGTCGTTTTTAGCTCACCTGACCTGAAAGGTCAAGTGAGCTTTTCTCATCACTTTGCGTCCGTCGTCCGTCGTCCTGCGTCCGTCGTCCGTAAACTTTTACAAAAATCTTCTCCTCTGAAACTACTGTGTCAAATTTAACCAAACTTGGTCACAATCATCATTGGGGTATCTAGTTTAAAAAATGTGTCCGGTGATCCGGTCAACCAACCAAGATGGCCGCCATGGCTAAAAATAGAACATAGGGGTAAAATGTAGATTTTGGCTTATATCTCTGAAACCAAAGCATTTAGAGCAAATCTGACATGGGGTAAAATTGTTTATCAGGTCAAGATCTATCTGCCCTGAAATTTTCAGATGAATCTGACAACCCGTTGTTGGGTTGCTGCCCCTGAATTGGTAATTTTAAGGAAATTTTGCCGTTTTTGGTTATTATCTTGAATATTATTATAGATAGAGATAAACTGTAAACAGCAATAATGTTCAGCAGAGTAAGATCTACAATTAAGTCAACTTGACCAAAATGGTCAGTTGACCCCTTAAGGAGTTATTGCCCTTTATAATCAATTTTTAACCATTTTTCGTAAATTTTTGTAATCTTTTACAAAAATCTTCTCCTCTGAAACTACTAAGACAAATTTAACCAAACTTGTCCACAATCATCATTAGGGTATATAGTTTAAAAAATGTGTCCGATGACCCCGCCCACGAACTAAGATGGCCGACATGGCTAAAAAATAGTACATAGGGTAAAATGCAGTTTTTGGCTCATATCTCTGAAACCAAAGCATTTAGAGCAAATCTGACATGCGGTAAAATTGTTTATCAGGTCAAGATCTATCTGCCCTGAAATTTTCAGACCAATCAGGCAAGTCGTTGTTTGGTTGCTGCCCTGAATTGGTAATTTTAATGAAATTTTGTCGTTTTTGGTTATTATCTTGAATATTATTATAGATAGAGATAAACTGTAAACAGCAATAATGTTCAGCAAAGTAAGATCTACAATTAAGTCAACTTGACCAAAATGGAGTTATTGCCCTATATTTTCAATTTTTAACCATTTTTCGTAAATTTTTGTAATCTTTTATAAAAATCTTCTCCTCTGAAACTA